GGGCAGCGCTAGGGCAGCATCTCCAGTCCTGCCATAGAAGCACTAAAGCCTAAGAACTTTTTAAAAAAGATTACTTATTTAATTTTATTATTATTAATAGTTTAAAATTTGCTATAGGACACATGTACTCACCAGAAAAGGACACACACACAGAGAGAGAAAGTGAGAAAACAACCCACCAGGTTCGAACCACAGTTGACCCTGTAGGAGTCCAGAACCTTGCCCACCATGCTACCTGCTGGCCCCCTAAGGACTCTTGATCACATGATGTGGACAGGTATTTATGGAAAGAGAGTTCTGAGGCCCAACAAGTGTGGACTTCAGCTAAATAAAACTGACCAACAGACGAGCAAGACTCAAACAATGGCTGGACCTCCCACGCCTTTAATAAGTGCAGGTAAACTGCTGCCAAGTTGGGTGGCCTAGCACACGGCTTTCTCAAACACCTTTCACTACGGAATCCTCTCTCCAGGAGTGTCTAACACACACTTGCAGAACACATGGCAATGGGACCCAGTTTAGGGAAGGCAGGCCCCTGTGTTGGCCTGCTTCTCTGCCCTGGCTGGCCCTTGATTCCTGTCTGTGGGTCCAGCTCCTTCCTGTGATGTCAAGGCCTCCTTGGTGTCCCACAGCTGAGCCTCCCGTGGGATCCCCCTGGGGTCCTCTGGGAGGACGCACCTGCCATGAGAGGCCGAAGTCCATTAAGGACACAGCATGGGACTTAATTCCAAGCGACTAACTCCATATCGATTTGGGTCACCAGTGCTAAGGTGTCACTTTCAGTTGTGTTTAATTTAAACAAACAATAAAGAAAAAAAAACTCAATCCTGAGCAGGATGCAGACAGGTGATGTTTAATTCCCAGCGCAGAGAGAGGTGGAGGGCAGGGTAGGAAGGGCCAGAGGACTCCATTAAGGGGTGTTCAGATGTGCGTTTGCTGATGGGGGTGAGCCGGATGCAGAGAGGCAGCTCTCTAGGGGCAGACCCCACACTTCCCGTTCCCCAGCATCCAACGCTCCCCTACCTTGGCAACCATGGGCAATTCTTTTCACTTCTCCAAGACTCGGTTTCCTTGTTTGTAAATTGGACATAAATAAAATTGCCACAGAGGATTATTATGAGAATTAAATGAGGTAAGAGAGGTGGAATTTTCTGGACCCAGGAAAGCTCTCCCATCCAAAGCTTGGTTCCAGAGCGTAAGTGCATGTGTATGTGTGTGGAAGCATGTCCTGTGTGTGCGTGTGTGTGTTTAAGGCAGAGAGAGCGGATTTGGAGCTCTCTCCCTGGGTTGGAGTTTGGCTTCATTGCTAGCTGCATTGTGCCGGGCAGGTTGCTTACCCTATCTGGGCCTCAGCTTTCTTATTGGTAAAGCAGGAATAATGAGAGCACCCAGCTTCTGTGTAATTGAGTTAAACACGCGCCTGGCACAGAGCCGCACTTCCACCCATGCCCCGCGGGGGTCCCTCTGCCAGCCAGCAGAGCCCATCCCTTTGGAAGCCAGGTTGGGGGAGGCAATCACAGGCTACATCCAGGGCCAGCAGGTAGTGCGGTGCTTTGGGCGCTGGACTCCCCCATGGCAGACCGCAGTTGGAGTCCTGGACCTGGCAGCCTGAGAATCACGCCAGGCTTATGTGCGTGCATGCCCAAAATCCCAGGAGAAGAGTGGAGGAGAACGGATTGCAGCATGGCCATTTCCCTGGGGAGTGATTTCTTACTTTCCCTCGCTCTGTCTCTCTGTCTCTCTTCAGGGAGCACGCACACCTTATGTCCCTCCCCTCTCTGGGAAAACAACAACTTGGAGGTCACAGAGGCCCCCCTTGACCTCAGGGGTGCTCCCTGGGGTCCTGGAAGAATTTTCCTTTGCTCTCTAGCGCCCTCTGTTGGGGGAGCCTAGCTCAGCGCTGTGGACGGTGGAAGGCCAGAGGCAAACCCAAGGCCCCCACTCAGCTGGTGCCCAAGGAAGAGGCATGTCCCACAGTGACTCATGGGCCTGCGGGCCAGGACTGCGGAGTGGAGGCCCTGCCTCTGTCGGTGGATCCATTAGGAGACAGGAGCCCAGGGACGTTAAACAAATTAAAAGCCTGTGACTGCCCGCGGTGACTTCTCTGGCTGAGTCACCCTCTGCCCTCTGCTAGCTGTGGCTCTCAGTACTCTGAGACGCCTTTCTTTGGATGAAAGAAAAGACTCCACAGCTGTGTTTTATGACCCAGGAGCTGGAGGAGTGGGCTCCAGGGAGAGGGTGTGGAGAGCAGCGTACTGTGAACAATTAGCATGTGGTAGTAGGCATGCACGTGACGGCCAAGCCCCTTCCTGGGAGCCAGCTGTGCACCTTGGCGGAGGTCTTCTCTCTGGTGGGCCAGGTGCTCTGCGAGTGCGCACTGTCACAGGGTGCCTGCTAGGACCGACAAGTGACAGCCTTGGTCGGTGCTGGGAGCCGAGGCACCAAGTGCATACCCCTCATTCTCTCATTTACTCTCTCATCCATCACTCCAGTGAATATCTACTGAAGGCCTACTATGTGCCAGGTACTGGTAAGGAAGACCAATTATTACCGTTCAGGGCAATATCAAAGAAGAGCATGGATGACTCAGAGGTCCCAGAGCAGGAGCAGTAACTGAGCTTCCCAACCACCCCAGGCCCAGTCCTTGGCCCTGGAAGCAGGCCTCCCTCGGCTCTCAGGCCTCTTCTCCAGCAGCCCCTGAAGTCACTCACAGCAGGTGGAATGCAGGCAAAACTCTAGTCCCTTTTCCTGTCCCCAGGGCGCTCTTTCCCAGCCGTATGGACAGGGCTGGGAGGAAGCATCACCCAGGGTTTTAGAAACCCCCTCGCTCCCTGGATCTCCTCTCCACTGGCTGGGCTGTAGTGAGTGTAGGAAGCCCGGCCAGTCAGGGCTCCCCTGAGGTATTGCTGCCTGTCCACCTGCCTGGCTGTGCTCAGAGCTGCAGCTGGCCCAGATGGTAGGCATGCCCACACAGCCAGGCATGGCACTTACCTGCAGAAGCAGACCCAGAGCCCAGACCCACACAAGCGGGTCCTGGCTTGATGCCTGTCCCAGCCAGAGATCCCTTCCCACTGATAGGAGGTTTTTGGGGATAGGCTTTTGGTTCCTTTAGCTTTTTCCAGGGCCAGAGAGGGAAGGGTGGGGAGGATGTAGTTGGGGACTGAACTCTCTCTAAGCTCCCCTCCCCAGCATGGCAGGGCCAGCCCCCAAAGTGGGGGCTGGTGGTGAATGGACCCTCAGCAGCTAGGAGAAGAGGAGATCTGGGGGTGGGGTGGGGCGTGAGAGAGCAAAGAACAGCTGAAGAGAGAAGAAAGGGTATAAGACTCGAGCGCTCGAGCCAGATCCAGCCCAATCAGCCTGGCAACCAATTAGTCTGATTCAAAAAAAAAAAAATACCCACGGAGGGACAAACCGTAATCAAACACCTATTTATAAGGGTTTATTACGATCATTATTATTATTTTACTGAGAGGATCATTCTAAAGCCTGTCAGGTGAACGTATGCTTTCAGATCTTCATAAATGCAAATCGCTCCTTCCCCCAGGGCGGGTGAGCTAGCGGAGCCGCAGCAGCAGCCTGGCTGCCTTGGGAGGCTATGCAGTGAGGTTCAGAGGGGGCGGCCGGTGAGCAGTTCACTGCCACGGGGCCTCTCTGCACAAGCCTGCTGCGTGGGGACTCAGCAGCCATCATGCCCACCCCACTCCTTACACATCTCCCTCACAGCGCTGCTGGAGACAGGGCCGGCCACACACCCATTGCCCATCTGGGTAAGCAGAGAACAGCCTGATGTAGCAACCCGCCAGAGTGAGGGAAGCTAGGGATTCTCCATGGAATACCCGCACTGGATGAAGAGTCAGGAGGCCAGGTTCTGGCCTTGCCAATCCCCTGGGCCCACCAGAGGTGAAATTCCATGGTCTGAACTTCTCCACCTAACCTGATGCCTAGCCCACTCCAAGGTCTTCAGGGCCTCTCCTCCTCCGTCATGGGAGCCAAAGGCCCCAGCCAGGCCTTAGGCTTAGCTCTGAAAGGGGGCGCGTGTGCTGGGAGGAGAAACCATATACCTGAGTCCCAAAACCCACTTCTCAGGCCAGGTGAGAAAAGGTGTCAGGCCTGACAAAAAGGTGAAAATTTGGTCTCTGCCAGCAGGAGATAGCCAATTCCTCTCATTTCCGGCTGGATCCCAGAACGTGGCTGTTTCTGGGAGAAAAGACAAAACATCCAACCGGTGGGATTCTAGGGGAGGGGCAGCCTTAATTTGGGAAGTTTCAGAAACCCGAAGCCCCTTAATCCTTCTGAGCCAGGGCATTTTTCGGTGGCGGGGCCAGAACTCCGGAGCCACGCCCTGCCAGCCCTGCCTGAGGATGGCCTAGCTCTCTAGGGGGGAGCTGCCTCTTTGCATCAGGCTGGGGCGGTGCGGGCAGGGAGTGACCCCCGGGCTGCAGCCAGGTGGAGGGGATCAGATCGAGCATGGCTTCTGGAGGGCGGGGTGCTCAGCCAGCTGGGGGAGGTGAAGAAACTAAAGGCAGCGAGTTGTGAGTGAGGGGGGGGAACCCGCGGGGAGGGGGACTGGAGGGGGCGAGCTCTCCTTCTCCCCGCAATAAATCGGCTTAGCGGACGAGAGCCGAACAGCCCAGAAAGGATTAAAGAAAAGTATGTATAATACAGCGGAGAGCGCGGCGAGGGGAGGGTGAGGAGGGCGGGGGGCGGGG